AGGGTAAAATACCAATTTCAAGATTAACCCAACCAAAAAAAGAGGGTAAAAACTCACATCCCACTTTCAAAAAGCCCATTTTTTTATGGAATCACAAAAAGGCTACAACTTTAGCTAAATCTAGGGGGTCATTTTGTACCCAAAAAAAAAGGGTAAGATTTAAAAGAATCTCAACTGACATGTACATGTAGATATCACTGTCTTGGCTCAGCTGTCTGTGGCAAAGAAAGCAAGAATCAAGAAAATGGGAGTTTTGGGTTCTCTTTTCAGATCCAGAGTAGTAAGGCCTCATCTCTTTGTTGTGTGTGTGTGTGAAGTGAAAGTGGCGGTTTTCCGGCGGCGTCGCGCGGCGGAGATGCGGTGGCTGAAGGGAAGATAGTTTGCAGACTGTGGGAGGAGAAGGCTCTGTGGAGATATTGTGGTTTTATATAGTGAAAGAAGTTAGGGAAGAGTTGTTATTAAGTGCTGCGTGGACCACCTGGACCCAGTGAGTGGAACTAATCAATTGTTTTTCCAACAAGTTTGACAAGACGAGCTCTTATTGGCTGAGACCACCATCGCTTAGAGCATCTCCAACAGTCAATTTGTCTATTTTGTGTTGTATGGCATGGAGAATGAAAATTAAAAAATTATGTTTCTAATGATCAATGTTAATTGTGGTATCATTTGTGATTTATAAAATTTTAATTGGTAGAAGAAAATAAATAAATTGAATATATAGACCATCTCCAATGGGATGTCAATTGTAGAATTGTAGAGACTTTGGGACAAAAAAGGTCTCCAACGGTGAATTTTTTTACTTTTCCATTTGATGATTTGGCATGACTCATGAGAGATGCAAAACTTCCAAAGCTTTCTACATCTGAAAGGTCTTCTAGAATATTTTGTTTGTACTTAATAAAAAAATACCTGATAAATATCACCTTAATTAATAAAAAATACGAATATCACCTTCTAGACTTGATGATCAATATATATAATTAGGTAAATGCGCTAAAAATACATGATACAAAATATACAGAAATATTGTAATTGGTTCAATTCGACATTTTACCATTGGAGAGTTACTTATGAACAAAACACTTCTAAAATTATATTATAAATTTAATGGTATATATTTTGTTAAAATTATACATTAACGTATAAATGATACTCTTAAAAAAATACCCATACAAAAATACCTAATGAATATCAATTTGATGGGTGGGTTGTAGCTTTTCAAAAAATAAATACTAGAATTAAGGACTCTTAAAAAAACATACCGATACAAAAATAATATCAAGAATAAAGGATACTCTTAAAAAAATATGTGATAGCGCCCTCTTCAAAAAATAACTATTAGAGTTGATCCAATTATGATTCAATACAAGTATAATTTATAATATTTTTGTCATTTTTTTGACATTTTTTTAGAACAACAAAAGGAAAAAAAAAAACATACAAATCGTGTTTAGACATTTACCGTTGGAGAGTTATTTAGGAATATGTAATTCCATTCCATCCACGTGGACAGAAGGCCATCAATTTAGAGTACAATCCATCTTCACCATTGGAGATGCTCTAATCTAATATACAATAGAAGTTATCTAGAAGGGCTTCTACATCTAAAAGCCTTCTATAATTTTTTCAAATCACATAAGATTAATTATGTCATGTGGCAACAAAATAAAGGAAAAAAGACCATTGGAAATGCTCTTAGTGGTGGATGGATAACAGGAATATGTGAATTAAGGATTATATTGTTAAATTAGATTATTGTAATTTATAACAGTTAAACCAATAATAATATACTAATAATAATAATAAGACACTCGCAGTTTTCCCAAATAATGCGACAGCAATAGTAGTACTGTAATACAATAGTGCATATGATATGCAGGCAAACACTTTCTCCCTTTTCATGCTTTTTCTTTATTTATTTTTATTAGAAGATATTTTGCTTCCAGACAAATACTCTCATTTTTTTAATAAATATCATTTTGAAAAGTTGTAAAGTAATTAAATTTTTTTTTACCAATAATAACCTTCATTAATAAATATAGAGATGGATATTTTAAGAAAATATGAAAAGTGAATATGAAAAGATGTAATATATTTATTAGTTAGATGAGGGTAATAATAAAACAATATATACACAAGATGCCACAAACGTCATTTATTTAATTAATTATTGATAAAGTCAAAATGACATTTAAAAAAAAATAGGAGGTCATATATTTTTTTTTAGCATATATATCAAAATGATGCAGATATCTTTCATTTTTCAAATCATAATTTTTTTAAGAATGATATTTTTAATGAAAATATAATTATCTTCAATGCTAACCTAATCTATTGATGCATATTTTATAGTTGCATGAAATTCATCATTTTTCTTAAATGCGTAAAAAATTAATTGTGCATATTCGTGGGATTCGAACCCCAAAATATTTTGTCCGTAAAATAAATTATTTGTTAGCAGCTTTGGACCTTGGAGTTATATTTCCCAAAAGAGATCCACCGAAAGATGTAAGTAATAATTTAATTCCGTTATAAACCGATAGAGCACTTCCAGATAACACATGCATTCAAGTCTATATAAACCGATTGAGCAGCTTTGGACCTTGTTAGTATATATATATTTTTTTGTTTATACCTCAACAATACCGGGAAAATGGAATCAATGTGGAATTCTAACTAAAGCATCTTATATTAAAATAAAATAAACTGAAATAGAGTTTAAGCACTCGAGAGCGTCAACAATTGAAATCAACATGTTCAGATCCCCATCGAAACAAAAGCTATAAACTCCAACAAGTGAAGAATAGAATCTCAAGTAGAGAATTACAACACTTATTTATATCAAAAACTAACAACACACATCTACACTATAATAAAATACTAATCTCCAACTTCTCAGTTCTCACGATCACACTGCAAAGACTACTTAAACCAACATACGAACCAACCCCGCAACAATCAAATCACACGATCAAAACCAAAGAGAGCGACAGAGCTAAGCCCCAGACCTAAAAACTCCAACTTAATTGCTAGCGGCTAGTTAGATCTACCAAACCCAGATTTGAGCTTCCGGAGCTGTCAATCGTAAGAAAATGACCTCAAGGGAGAAGACTCGACGAGCCACGCCTAAGGAGCTTTATAC